CCCTGGGCTCTTCACTGCGGCTGCGCACATCTTGCTCATTCTCTTTTCTTTTTTTTTTTTTGGTGAGGAAGATGCGCCCTGAGCTAGTATCTGTTGCCAATCTTCCTCTTTCTTTTTTTTTTTTGCTTGAAGAAGATTGTCCACGAGCTAACACCATGCCAGCCTTCTTGTTTTTTGTATGTGGGACGTCACCACAGCATGGCTTGATGAGTAGTGTGTAGATCCTCGTCCAGGATCTGAACACACAAGGCCGCCAAAGCAGAGCGTGCAAACTTAACCACTGTGCCACTTGGCCGGCCCCTCATTCTCTTTTCTCAAGCTGAGTTGCATCTGGACTTCCTTCCCCAAGCATTATAAAGACAACAGTCCACTTGGTGAAGTTATTTGTAGGCAACGTGTTGTGAGTGAGATTTCATTCCAATCTATTTAGAACTTTAAATCCTAAAATAGCTTAAGTTTAAAAGCATATGATCTAGTGCAGTGCATCTCCAAGTGTAGTGTGCATTCAGATCACCTGGAGAGCTTGTTAAAATTCAGATTCTGATTGAATAAATCAGGGTCAGAGTCCAGAATGCCGCATGTCAAGGGCCTAGAGCAGTTCTCCACCTGGACTGCACGTTAGAATCACCTGGGAGGCCCCCCTCCTAGAGATTCAGGTTTAGTTGGTTTAGGGTGAGGCCCAGGTAGTGGTATTGTTTAAAAGCTCTCCAGGTAACGCAGCGAGAGTTAAGAAATACTAGTGTAAGGGTTAAAACTCAATTTAACCGCTAAAATGCACAGAAGGGAAATTAAATTCACTTCCAAACCATTGCACTCACCTATGGTGTGACTCTGGGAAAGTAATTTCCTTTTGGCCTCATCAAATTTCCAAAGGGAATGACAGTTATTGCTTTTTTTTTTTTTTAACAACATATAGGGCCATTTGGGTGAAAGAATGTTTTCCTGCTTAATTTTAGCCTGGTTGTTTTCATTCTGACAGAGTGTTAACCTCATCCAAGCCAAGAATATATCATCGTCCACCTTGTTTCCCTCTTTTGAGTCATAGGGCAAAATTGACTTTAAACCTTCTTTGTTCAATTTAGCATCTTCTAGACCAAGCATTCAAAATGGGGGCAAGATCACCCCCAAGGGAGTGAAAATTGGGGGATGAGGAAATCTTAGATATTACAGTAGTTTGTGGCCCTGCAAAGCTCAAATCTACCTGACAAAATGTTATTTCTTTGTATTTAATTTCTCTTAAGGATAAATTAACTTTAATTAAAATTTAAAATTTTAATTTAATTAAATTTTTCTTCTCAGGGGGTGATAATGAAAAAAGGTTGAGAAACTCCGTCCTAGTCAGAGACAACCCAAACTAAGCTTGTAGGTACTTCCTGAGATGGATATCTTGAACTCTACCTGGGGAGAATTTGTGATACCTTTTCTGAGGGGTGAAATTTGGCCTTAACCACAAGGAATTCTGGGAGAAAACTTCAAAAGCATTCTTCTGTCTTCTCAGTAAAAAAGTATTCTCTCGATGAAAAATTTGAGTTCCAGAAGCATCTAGTTATCTATCTAGTACTGAGCTCTCTTGCTGATGTGACATTCTGGAATGTGGTGTTGAGAGCATGGATATTGAGGTCAGACACACCTGGGTGTAAATCCTGGCTCTCTCCTTCACTCTGTGGCTTTCAGCAGGTTCTCGTACCTCGCAAAGCCTCATTTGCATCTGTACAACGGAAATAAAGTTACCTGGTAGATTTGTTATTCAAATGAAATATGAATTGGGTGTAAAGGATGTAAAACAGTGTCTGGTACATAATGAGTGCTCAATTAGTGGTGGCAGAAGTGGTGGTTGTTAATATCTATCTATCTATCCGTCTATATATCTATCTATGTACCTATCAGTCTTCTACCTACCTGTCATCATCATCATAGTAAAATATCTGTGGGCACAAGACAATCTCCTGAGTCAAATTCTCTCCTCACCAGACCTGAGCAACTCCATATAATCCTTCCCAAGTCGCCTTTCCAGGATAACAGAGCAATAGAGGGTGGGAGGCAAGTGCTCCCCTCTCCCTGGGTCCCCGTATTGATGCGACAGCTCTTTCTGCAGTGCTGACAACTGTTAGCCCAAGTGGCCTGGGGGAGGAAGAAGGTATTCCATGAAAGACAAGTTGATTCTAGATTCCATTAGCCATTTCTTCCTGCTGTTGCCAAATAGAGCCGGATTTACTTTAGCCAAAGTAAATACAACAGCAGAAAAAAAAAATTAAGTTTTGAGGGAAAAAGTAACCAGGAAAAAACAATACATATAGACAAGGAAAAGAATAATTTTTATGTAAGAAGAGAGTTGTTGTCTTTTATGACCTCAAAAGCAAGTCATATCTAAAAGATTTTATTTTGCTCCCATGTGTATTATTTATTCAAGTTGGCTGATGCTATTGTTTCGAATCTTGGTCTTGGTGAATACTATTATTATTGTTTGGAACATGAGCTCCTTAAAGCACTGTGACAGGGAAAAGAAAGCCAAGATAAACTGGGCTTGTTGCAAGTATTATTATTTCAGATAATCATTTTTAAAAATGCATTCAGATTTGTCTAAATGCAGAACTTGGGTAGATGTGATAAAACCCTTACCAACAAGTTCCTAGAATGCTTTTCTTAACAAACTCGTCTTGAAAATCCGTCACCAAGAAAGAGATGTGGGTCCTTGGTGCCACGTCTTAGAGGCTCTGTCAGTGCCACCGGCACCCATCTGTGTGGCTCAGTAAGCATCCTCAGAGCCATGTCCAGCTCAGGTTCCTGATTGCTACTGTCACCTGCAGCTTCAGGCCTAAGTTGGGATTGCAGCCAACTTCGGCTCTTTCGGGTTCCTGGCCAGTTTGTGTATAATTATTGGAACGTTACATAAGTGCCAAAGAACAGGAATGTGCATACCCTACACCTGCCCTAAGGGACTGACATTCCTGAGATGATCACAGACAGGTAAACAGGTGAGGAGCAGGGAGCCTGGGACCCCACAGGGGAGAAGGAGAGTCGGAGCAAAGCTTCTGAGAGGAAGTGACACCTCAGCTGAGACCTGTGGAATGAATTAGCCAAGCAAAAGGGGCAGGGAGCAAATGTTCCAGGCAGAGGCAGGTGTGGAAGCCGGGATACAGGAGAGGAGATGGTCATGGGCGGGGGGCGGGAGGGATAAACAGGAGCCAGGTCACACAGGGCCTTGGCAGCAGTGTTAAGGTCAGACATTGTCCTGAGGCTAGTTCTAAGCAGGGGGTGACCTGATTGGACTTGCACAAAGGATGAAAGTATTCCTGTGGAGGGATGCAGTAGCTCAAACTACTAAAGAAGTGTGAGCTGGCCAAGCTCTCCAGGCGGGGACCGTGGAGTTCACCCGGCAGGCATCACATAGCCTGGGTCTTCTCCACATCACCTGCACCGCTCGAGCACCGCATGCGTTATTCTTGGTTATAGAAGCTATACGTTATTAAATCGTCGTTTCTACTACAGGAAAAGGTCAGACCTCTTTTGTTCTTTCTGATTTATGATTTTCTGTGTTCGAGACAGTATTCCTTGGTGCCGGTCAGATGCGAACTCCTGGGCTGACAGGACTTGGAGACTGATTATTATATCAGAGACTGATTATTATACGCCAGATTTTATGGCCACAAGAACATCTGCCAAAGTCCTACAGCAGCGTGCCAACAGCGTAGTGTTCTGGTAGTAGTAAAAACCCAGCATGCTTTCCCAAGAACTTTCTTTGGCTCTGAGAAGAGGTTTGGCGACAAGGTTGAAGGTTCCCCTAGAGACGAGTGAGAACAGAAAAGATGTGAGGTGGGCCTCCTGCCCTGGAGATGTTGACTGTCCGGAGGGCATGACAACAATAAGCACAGCAAACAGCCTAAAACTCATGACAAAGCTACGATCAGTAGGTGCAAATAGTTTTTGTACAAATCGACCATTGAGGGTGGGCATGGAGTGAAGAGAAATTATCCAAGAGGAGTTCAGGGAAGGCCCCCTGGGCAGAAGGTAAGCCTAGGGATTGGCCGAGAAGAGAGGAAAGGAGGCCAGGCCAGATGGAGGGCCAGGAGAGGCATGCCCAGGGAGAAGGAGCTAAACCTGTGCTAAGCCCTATGGCCTGGCTGAAGCCGGGCTTTGAGCTGAATGGTAACGAGAGATGCTGTTGCGGATGAGTGGGGAGAGTCGGGGCCTCCAAGCGGAGCCCCTGGGAATTCAAGGTAGAATCTGGCAGAATATATTCATTCCTGTGTCACATAATCCTGATTAGAGTTTTCCCTCTAATTGCTCACCAGATACAGCTATTTGGTTCGTTCGTTCTTTCCTTGCTTCCTTCCAGATCCTTATCTTTATAATTTGGTAATGTTTTCCTTAAAAATCTGATTTTGATTTCCTTAAAAACCCAATTTCCTAGTAAGCGATGTGTAGTAGTTTCCCCTGCCCTGTTTTACTGTTCTGTGTAAATCTGCGACTCTTCCCTGCTGTCATGCTTTGTTGCCCCGGTGAATCTTTCTTGTCGCCCTGGAGGGACTGTGTGGAGAGAACTTGGAGAACCAGTTCTGTGGGCTGTTGATGAACCTGATGGCAAGGGTGCCGCTGACCAAGGGCCTCCTGTTCTCGACTCCGCAGTGATTTCCTTGTATTCGCGTGCTGCCTTTTCCGCCTGTTTCCTCATTTGAAACACTGGGATAATGACATCTGTGTATCTACATGCAAGAATTTAGTAGGGTCTTAAAAAGATTCTCTACACATTAGAAAATGTGGAGACATGTAGCTATTTAAAAAACCATGTTGAGACATGATTACCATCATTGCACATTGAGGGGGGCAGTTATTTTAGAAAGGACTCCAAATGGTGACTGTAATTTACCCAAGTTTTTAAAACTTGAGTGATCAGAATAATATACATGAAAGGATTTCAGGAACTCATAAGACTTTTGGTTTTCCTTGATGGCCCTCTGTGACAGCCTAATCAAAAACTGAGAGCCTTTTTCTGTTTGCAGATTGCGGAGGGAATGGCGTACATCGAGAGGAAGAACTACATTCACCGAGACCTCCGAGCAGCGAATGTGCTGGTCTCCGAGTCCCTCATGTGCAAAATCGCGGATTTTGGCCTGGCTCGGGTGATTGAGGATAACGAGTACACGGCAAGGGAAGGTGTGTAGTGACAGTCTGCAGGTGTTTAGTTACTGTTCAGTTTTGTTTTGTTTTTGTCTGTTTTTAAGAAAGTTACAATAGTCATCATTAAAAAAAGAACTCATTTGGTGAAATAGTCAAAATGTACCATAGTAGCTGCTTGTGGTTCTATTTTAATGACTGTTTAAAAAATTACTCTCTTGATTAACTCCACCTGATACTTTTATAAAGTTTACAAATGCTATCACTTGTATTTCAATTAAGCAAGCAAAACAAAAAGAGATTTGGCAAGATCAAGATCCTTTGTTTATATTATGTTTTCACCCAGGCAATGAAGTACACTTTCCTTAACTATAGAGAAAATATTTGTGACAATAATTGTATATTCTGGCCTTTTAATTACAAATCAAAACATGGAAATTATCACACCCACAGAAGTAAATATAACGCTACAAAAATCACTCCTTTATTTTCCCACATTCCCTATTATACACGTGAACCAAAAACGCACAGACAAGCGCGAGCCTCCCAGTCCCCTGGCACGGCTCTGTGGCCAGGCCCACGGCCTTTCCTGTTGCAGGCTCATCCATGTTGCCTATGACCTGAAGATTCTGCGAGTCTCACTCAGGGAAGTTGAGTGAATATTTTTACAGTGCTTGCTCTCTCCCTAAAGAGCCAAGCACTTTCTTGACATTCCTAAGAACTGTTAAACAAGGATTATTTCCCTTTTAACTACCTGTGTGTTATTTCTGGAAGATGGCCGCAGGATTTATAGAGGTGACAAACAGTTTGAAAACACCGTTTTCATTTGTTGAGCATCTCTTGCATCCATCATGTTTAAGGTGGTTCTCCTCCTGCCTCAAGCCTGTGTTCTCCTAGGTGGGTTTTAACTTATCCTTGGCCTTCATTATCCTCAGCAGAAAGGCAGGTGAAGGAGAAGAGTTGGAGGAAAAGGAGTTAAAAAAATAATCTCTGAACTGTAGTGAGCATTTGCAGTGTGGCGGGCACTACTCGAAGTGCTTTTCCTGCATTATCTCATTTATCTTTGCAACAACCCTAAGTGATAAGTATTATTATTATTATTCCTACCTTATAGATGAGGAAACAGAGGTTCAGCAGCTTCTGAGGTCCCACAGTAAGTGGTAGAGCCAAGATTCAAGCCCAGGAGTTCTAGCCTCAAAGTACATGAGCTAGAATTTATTCCACTGGTTTTGTTGAATTTGACAAGCCCAGAGTCTCACAAAAATAACTGTTCTCATGGAGAGAGGTGGCCTAGTGCAGAGAACTCGGGCTCTAGAATTAAACAGTAACCATGTCAGGGCGACAGCAGTGATATTTATCTTTCCCTGCTATTTACACTGTGCCAAGGGTGCAGGTGAACCCACTTAACCCTGACAGCAATGGGGGGAGTTTCTGTTTCCTCACTTCACAGATGGAGGTGCCAAGGAGGCACAAAGTCAGTGAGTGACTTGCCAGGGTCACACCCAGCTGGAAACAGCAGAACTGGGGTTCACACCCCAGCTGCGGGTTTCGGACCTGACCAAGCGCCCTGCCCTGCCCACTGCTGCCTGGGGAAGTGGGGGGGACTGGTAGGGGGAAGGGGGGTTAATGCCAGGATGTACACAGTGAGTGCCCGGCACACGATAGCTGCCCCTCGAGGCTTTCTGCTATCCTTATTGTTCTTATTCAGATTTCCAGTTTTGGTCTGACACCACAAAAAATTCTAAAGCAAAAACATAATAAAGGCAAATATGTTTAAAAGTTTTAAATATGGTTGGTGGAAACTCCTAGCCTTTCCAGGGTATAGGAATGAGAGTCTGTGCCTGAGCCCCTACTTTCCTCAACGTAACACTGAGAGTTCCCCCTGGCCGGGTTTGCCTCTCATGTGAACTGGTAGCTGAGTGTCCCTTAACCTCGCCAACTCCTCATGAGAAACCTAGTGTCATTGCTATCTCATTCTGGGAAGATCAGCATCCTACCCAGTTCCTGAAAGTGTAATAATGTTTGGTCTTGTCAAATGAGAGCACGAGACATTAAAGTATGGAGTGGCATCTAAAATTCCTATTAGTACAGGCTTAAAGAGGTTTATCTACAAGAATATACACATCAGAAGAGATTTATATTCCAGGTAAACATGGTATGGATTCGTTAGAGAAAATGTGAACACTAGAGATATATGCTTTAGAGACTGGTGTTGAGGGCAAAATGTACAAGCTGAGAACAAATGTCTCTCCTTTTGTGTCATGTTCTTTCTTGTTTAAAGTGGGCTCGTTCTGATGTCTCTGGGAGGATACCCAGGAAAGTTTGCTTCTTAAGAGGGGAATGCCCCAAAGGGAAAGACAGGAGGGAGGCACACATTTTTAGTATAACATTTTGTACCATCTCTCTTTTGTACTATGTGTATATGTTACCTATTCAAAATAAATAATTAAAATTTCCCCCAAAGAAAGAAAGCATGAGGGTCAAATGCCCCTGACTTTTTGTTTCAGCCCAGAGGCCCAAGTAAGACTCACGTGTCTTCTCCCGTAGGTGCTAAATTCCCCATCAAGTGGACCGCTCCAGAAGCCATCAACTTTGGGTGTTTCACTATCAAGTCTGACGTGTGGTCCTTCGGCATCCTCCTGTATGAAATCGTCACCTATGGGAAAATCCCCTACCCAGGTATGGTTTACCTAGCTGTGTCCATTCAAGTGGTGTGTATAGAAAAAGCCAAATGGCATGAGGCATAAAAAAAATAAACCCGTATCCAAAAGCTAAGAATGAGCCCTTTGGGCTAGAACTTGATTTTGACTATTTTAGTGGAAAGGGTTCTAAGATATGCTTAGACCCTTCTCTGCCTTCTTACTTGATTGAGTGCATATTCTTTTTCTTCACTAATTAATTCTGCCACTTACTTAACGCCTAGAGTGTACCTGGCACCATCGTAGGAATTGCAGATATGAGGATGGATTAGAGGATTAGACATAGGCTTTCCTCCTAAGCAGTGCACCTGATGAAAGAGGAAAGAGACATAGAAATGAGAACTTGCGATGCTTTTTGGTTAATTTTAAAACAGAGGTTTGTATAAAGTACTTTGGAGTCTCTGACTCTTCAGGAAATACCTACCTCTGTTTATCAGTGAAAGATCCTTCAGATCTTTAACTTACTGGATATGAGGACATCATTCCATATTTCCAGATTCCTGACACCCAAAGCCCTTGGAGAATTCCAGATTCTGCCAATCATCCCTTTTTCCAGGATCTGTGCTGGAATGTGCAAGAAGAGGGATTTCCCCCAAAGCCTTCACATTCTTATTAATGTTTGGCTTTTAACAAAATCGATAGATAAGGTGAATTTAAAATTAAATCTTTAGTGTTTAAATCATTCTCTCATTCAAAAAGTATCTGCAGGTGACAGGCACTCTTGAGGTACCCAGGTACAGCCCGTCACAGCTCCTGCCCTTGAGAGCTAATATTCCAGGAGGGAGAGACTGATAATAATCAAGTAGACTACAGTGTGTTGGATGGTGAAGTGCACTATGGACAGTGCCTGGAGTGGATTAGGGATTGGCAAGTGGAGAGGGAGGGTTGCTGATTTTATACAGTGGTCCTGGCAGCAGCAGGGACTCAGTGAGTGAGCGAGGGATCCGTGGGGCTGTCCAGGGGCTGAGTGTCCCACAGGGGAAACAGCCAGTGCATGGGTTCCTGAACAGGAGCAGGACGCCACATGATTTGGGCCTCCGTGAGTATTTGCTGAATGAATGAATGACTCATCTAAGCCATTTAATTGTAAGATAGACTCCATGCTATGGATGAGAAAGAAGGAGGTGCGAGTGATGGAGGAGGCCATGGAATTGGGGGTGGAGTGGATGGGAGAGCCTTAGAGGCCATGGAGGAGCTTAGCATTTTACTCTGCTTGAGATGGAAGCCATGGAAGGCTTTTGGACAGAGCAGCAATGTTGTCTCCCCACTCCTGATCACCCTCACTGCTCTTTGGGGATGAGCCATAGAGAAGTGGGGGATGACGGGGGCCCAGCTGGGAGGGGAGAGCCTTCAGGGGGTGCCTGCAAAGTGGGCTGACTGTCCCGTGAAATCTCTCTTGTGCCGACATTTCATATTCTGAGTGCCACTTTGCTATAGACCCTGAAGTTAATGAATAACACTACTATAAAACAGGAGAAATATTTATTGATCAACCCTGATGTCTGATATTTATATCTATAATCTATATCTGTAGAGAAAGATTATATATTCAGATTATATATATAATCTGATACCTGATCAAATAGACATATAACCTCATAAAACGATGTTGTGTGGTATGACATACTCCACAATGATGTACATACAAGGCCCCTGAGGCTCAGAGAAGGAGACTGTTGCCCAGAAATGCCTTGCTAGCTCCTGGCGGAGCTTCTGAACTCCAGACCCATGGGCCTCCCAAGATCTGGCTCTCACCCACTGTGCTCAGTGCCTAGGATTTAAAATATTTTGGGTGAAAAATCATAAAAGATGAAAAAGAACCAGTAGAAAAATGGTGCAAATCACAAAAAATATATGATAGGACCAACCAGAAGCCATTGGCTGGTCTGTTCCCTGGTTAGCTTGTCCTTTGCAAGTTCTGGGGATGTCCGATATCTTTGGGAGTTCTATATTGCTTTGGTTTCCAGTCACAAGAGTTGTGTGTTAGGAGAGCCTCTAGCATGAGGACATGTGAACAGTTGAACAATCCTAATGACTTAAATATCAAAGGACTCGATTCACAGACAGCACAGAAGTTGGTGAACATTGCCAAAATGTGCCATTTCCATCACTGTTAGAAAACTGCTTATGGGGGAGACCTCACTGATAATTGAGTCATCTGAGGATATTTTCTTTGCAAGGAAAAGTGCTGGATATGTTGTTGTTTTTTTTCTTCTTCTTCTTCTTTTTTTTTTTTTTTTGTGAAGAAGATCAGCCCTGAGCTAACATCCATGCCAATCTTCCTCCATTTTATATGGGACGCCGCCACAGCATGGCCTGACAAGTAGTGCGTCAGTGTGCGCCTGGGATCCGAACCCGGGCCATCAGCAGCAGAGCGTACGCACTTAACCACTACGCCATGGGGCCGGCCCCTGTTGTTGTTTTTTTTTTAAGTAGTTTGGAAGCTATGTGCCTAGCTTTGCAAAATAAAAAGGGAATACTATAAAAGAGGAAAAAAACAGAAAATAATTAAGAAAGCCATATATAAACTGAACACATATTTTTAGAGAAAAAAAGACTAAAAGGGGTAATATATCAAAATGTTACTATCTTTGGGCAATGAGATAATAGGTTATATTAATTTTCTTCTTAATAAATTTCTGAAGTTTCTAGTTTTTTACAACCATGTTTTTATTAAATATTTTAATTCTTGTCTAAGTAATATATGCACATTAAAGAATGAGGTAGTGCAAAAAGACTTCTAATAAAAAATTGCCTCATGCTTGCTGATGCTTCTCAAAAGCATCTACTTTCAGGAATCTTGGTTATTTATTCTAATATTTGCTGCTCATAGTTCTAAATATTATCTTCATACTATTATTTCTTAAGTAGAGTTTTTTCCCCAATTTTACTTATTATTAAATAAGTATATGATCACAAGGTTCTAAATTCAGGTGATACAAAGAGGTATATGTGAAAGGTGTGTCTTTCACCCCAATCCTCCAGCCACACAACTCCCCGCCATCAGCAATCACGTTATCAATTTTTGGTGTATCATTCTAGGAATATCCATGCATATATAATTAGAGGTATACCAGATACACATATCAGCTGGATGCCGGAACTGTTAGCACCAACAAAGAACAAACTTCTGGGAATACGAGAATAAATTACATATGCAATTTTGTCAATAAAATGTACTAAAATTCTAGAAGTCAGATACTAAATGTGTGATAAGATAGTGTAGGAGTGTCGTGTCCCATTTGCAGTCCTACTCGTTGAAATAGATACTTTGAGCAGGCACATCCAATACCATGAACTTCTGTGCACGTCAAATATAATTCAGGAAAAGGCTTTTTCGTAACATGATTTCTAGAAAAAGGCTTTGCACCTATTAATCGTATTTTGGGCAAATCTCAAAAATCTTTTGTCTTCAATTACTATTGGTCCATTTCAACAATTTTTTGTTGTGTTTTAAAATGTTTAGCCCCATAGACTCAAAGCTGTGAGGAATTGCTTTCTTCAAGCAATCTCTTGTTCTCACTGACGAGTGAGCACCAAATGCTTCAAGATGGTTTATCACAATTCTTGCTGTACGTGACTTGGGAGTTTCCTCATGAAGATTTGAGGCATCAAAGTTAATATTCTCCTCCTAACTCATACTTAGAAGATAGAATGCATTCCCAAATAGGATTTTTCTTGAGAGACTCATGACTTAAATAAAATTAAATAGCTAAATAAGTACAGTTACCAAATTTGCTTATGTTATGAATGCTAGAACAGCAAACATTTTCACCTAGAATTGTAAACTACCTCCTCCACTGAATCCAGCATCTGAAGTGGCTGGGCCGAAGGCTGGTGGCTTCTGAATCCTGCCTCTACCTGGGATCTTGTTTCCTCTGGGGAAGAACTTGGGATCTCTCTTTATTCCTGAAATCTCACGACAGTGTACCTTGGTGTGGCATTTTGTCATTTTTATGTTATGCTAGGTACTGGTTTTGTCCTTTCTATTTGGAAACTTGTAGCCATAAATTCTGGGAAATGTTCGTATAGTATTGCTTCTTTGAAAATTTTCTCCTCCCCGTTTTCTGTTCTCTTTCTGAGTCACTTGCTGGCAGGATGGTAGACCTCCTGGGGTGATTCTCTGAGTCTCACGTCTGCTCTTCTGTCCCTGTCATTCTATCCCTCTGTACCGCTTACTTTCCTGCCCTTCCTTTGATGAGATGTCTCATGGGAACGAGGGTCTCTGGACCACCAGGGTAACTTGTCAGCCCCCTCACAAGTCAGGATCTCCAGGTCTGTTCTCTGGGACCATTTAGTTCCTTCAGAAGAGAATCTTCTAGGCCCTGCCTGTGGGGTACGAGTCTGGCTATCAGCATTCTGGAGGCTCACTGGGGAGGGGACATCAGTGTCTTTTTTTTTTTTTCTTTTGTATTGTGGTAGAATAGACACAGAATAAGATTTACCATTTTAACCATTTTCAAGTGGACAATTCAGTGGCATTTAGTACATTCACAGTATTGTGCATCCATCACCACTATCCGTTTCCAGAACTTTGTCATCTTCCCAAACTGAAACTGTACCCATTAAACACTAACTCCCCATTCCCCCTCCCCCCAGCCCCTGGCAACCTCTATTTTACTTTCCGTCTCTATGAATTTGCCTACTCTAGGTCCCTCCGGTAAGTGGAATCATACAGTATTTGTCCTTTTGTGTCTGGCTTATTCCACTCAGCATAATGTCCTCAAGGCTCATCCATGTTGTGGCAGGTGTCAGCAGTGTCTCACTTCTTCATGTTCAGCCTTTCTCCTCACTCCCAGTCTCCATCCCACACTCTACCCCCTCCGCCACTGGGCCTGGCGTTCCTGAGCATGGAGCTTCTCTCCTTCAGTTTCTCTAGTGTTAACCTGGGCACCCGCCAGGGAGGCTCTGGGCACAGTCCTGTGTGCGGCCCCCGACCTCACCCCTTCCTTTGCATGTGTGGTGACTCTGCGTGGACCCTTCTCAAGGCCGGGGGCGATAAAGCATCTTGCCTGTTGTCGGTGTCCCCTCTTTTAGGCGCTTTGGTTTCACGTTCCTCCTCTTGGCTCAGACCACTTCTGCCTCTGGCTGACAGGTGTCTCCTGGTTTCATCAAAGATGGAGTTGAAGTTTCTGTTTCTTGTTCTCTTTTTTGTCTTGGGATGAATTAAAGGCAGAAGAAAGGGGGAAGGCAAAAGATCCTTACTTCACTATCTTAAAAGCAAAACTGTGTTAATATTTATGTATGAATTTTCTAAAGAAAATAGAGGGAACCTTGTGGTTGGGGTTTTGTTTTGCTTTGCTCTCGTGAAGAGAAAAGAGGTTTGAAAATGACAAAGTTTTCTGAAGCATCATGTCTTTTCTGGCTGTTTCTTACCAGATATATCTAGCATCTTAATGCTACATGTGATTCAGAATCAGGAAACTCATCCTGCTGCAAATGCTCACCTCAGTCACAAGCAATGCTCAGAAAAAAAAAATAATTTGCCCTTCGGGAAGGATTGTTGGTGGGAGACTGTGGTCCTGTGGTAGTTGGTACTTCCTCCCTCACACACACACACAGAAGGCCCCTGTGTCTTTCAAGACTGTCACGGTTCCTGGAGCTGCTGCACTCTCATCTCCTGTTGCTAAACCCCTAATCCTTTTCTAATCTCTGCTGTACTGCATTTTTCTCCTTCCTGTGCTCTTTCGCCAACCCTTAGTTTCTGCTAATTCCTACGCATTTCAGATGTCACTTCCTGCTCTGCTCCCTACCCACTTCCCTCTCCTAAAAGTATCTTCCCCATTGGGCTGTGTGCCATTTGAGGACAAGACTCTGTCTTAATTATCTTTGTATCCCTTAGAACTTAGTGCTAGCTCATGACCCATAATAAGTACAATAAATGCTCGTGGAAGGAATGAAGGGTGGAATAGGAAATTGCTTACCTTTTAAGATCACCACCCGATGGCTGTTTGCTTTCTTTAACCCAGCAACAGACCAGTTACCAAGTATTGGGTTTAATCTTAGGTCTGGTTGAGATCTCCCTGCCCCTCTCCTTCTTTCTTCCATAGGATTTGTCATTTAATAGCCTCATTTTGTGTGTTGGTTTACTTGTACCTAAAAAGATCGACTTCAGATTTCCTTCTTTTTATTCGTCTTATCAAGTCAGATCTCCCAGGCAGGATGGATCATGCCTGGCCTTTATTTGCATCATTGAGGGAGTTCTTCAGAGTTAGGAGAATATACAGGAATGAAGAAGGAAAACTCTGTAGTGCGGCAACGGGAGGCCTTAACGTGCCACGGTTTACCTTCCGTGGGCACATTCTGACCTTTTATGCAACTGGGGTTCTCCAGGAAGGAAGTGAAAGAGGTATTCCTAACCAAGTTTGTAGGTCCAGCTGCTGTTTCTGTCATCCTGGGTGTTAGTCCTCCCACCAGGATCCCAGAACTTCACCCAATGCCCATGTAGAAGTAAATACAGCTATTTCTTCTGAAATTTATCCAGGTGAGCTTGGCTAGTTACAGGAGCCAGAGCGATACTGAAGCCACATAATTTATGGAGACCAGAGCCCCAAATAAAGAAAGTGATGCAGATCGGTCCCTTGGCTTCAAGCAATGGGAATCAAATGAAGTCTTCCAGTTAGAACATTCCGGTTACACAAATATTTGAAGATGGTGTTTCAGAAGTAGACTTGAGCAAAATTAATTCACCACGTAAATAACTTTCAAGAGATTTTAACAATTATAAAGTTTGTTTGGATCTTTCAGTTTCAAAAACAAGGGCTCTTCCAAGACAGAAATAACCCCGTCTTCTTCCAGGGGTTTAAAGCCAGGCAGGGCCCTTCAGTCACTGTGTCCTTAGAAGCAGAAAGGTTAGTTAAAGGCAGGGGAGTTCAGCGGTCACTGGTCATGACCCACAGTAACAAATATACAGAAACCCCCTCCATATATAAAATGAACATTTCACAGAACCACACCAACTTTTACTATGTGCAGTGCATCCTGATCTTTTTTATTTTATTCTGTTATAATTTATTTTTTTAAATATTGGTAGCTCCCTAAAATATCAATTTGTTGATCCCAAGTGGGTGATGACCCACCATTTGAAAACAGATTAGAGAATAAATTCAAAATAAGGTTCTGTTTCAAATCTAGTAAAAGACATTTCCCCTAAAGTACTAGCTATCCTTTAGAATCTTTCCAGTGACCACTAGTGGTCAAGTCTGTGGCTACAGAAAGGAGATAGCTATGGAAAGGAAATTGTTGTGATGAATGGAGTTCTTCACATGCCAGATATTGTACATATTCCACATGAAATACAGCTCCTCTCACAGGAGCTCATATCCATAGAGTAAGGTATCCAGAAAACAGGCAAAACATACAGATGTGGAGAGGTACTGCTAAATAGGCACATTTCTCTATCCCATTTTAATAATGGAGGGAAATGTTAATGAAATGATCTTTTGTTCCTTAAAGCTGTTCTCAGTATTAAGAATGGACAGTTCACCTTCTGCAGTACCCTGAGACCATTGACCATGTTAAAAGCCCTCCTCCAGGATCAGTCCTCTTGCAGAATTCAGTAGGAATCGTGAACACCCTAGTTCCCACCGGGTGGGAGAGTGTGCACACCCCATGGTCCGTGTGAGCTTTGACTCTGGCCAGTACTAAAGATGGGACAATCTAATGATTGGGACATAATCAATTTGTCTGGCTGATTGAAGGGTCCTGACTTGTTTAAGTAAACTTACAATGAAAAGCAGATTATTAAAAAAAATTGGCATGAGATAATGTATGTAAAAATGAATTTTTTTGCTATATGTATGAAGCTGACAAAAATACCACAAAAGAAATGGAGATTCAGGGTTGGAGTTGGGCCTGAATAGTTCATTCAAAAGGTCAGGCAAGTCCAGTGTCCTTTTGTCATTAAAGAGGATTTGCTGTGTCTTCTACTTACCACGTTTGCCTGTTTTCACTTGGGCAAACTGAATGCTGTCTTCATCCCCTTCATACTAAAATTTATACGTTTAGCTGCTTATAGAAATGTCCTTAGCCTCCATATCAGTTTCTAGGGCTACCATAACAAAATACCACAGACCAGGTGGCTTAAACAACAGAAATGTATTTTCTCGCAGTTCTGGAAGCCAGAAGTCTGAGATCGAGGTGACAGCAGGGCTGGTTTCTCCGGAGGCTTCTCCTTAACTCGCAGATGGCCATCTCCTCCCTGTCTTCCTGCAGCCTAGCCTCTGTGCACGTGCATTCTCGGCATCTCTCTCTGTCCTAGTCTCCTCTTTTATAAGGACACCAGTAAGATTGGGTTAGGGCTCATTTTAACTCAATTACCTCTTTAAAGTCCTTATCTCTAAATACAGTCACATCTGAGGTACTGGGGGCCAGGACTTCAACATAAGAATCTGCAGGGGAACACAGGTCAGCCCTAACAGCCTCTAAAGCCTGCTTCAGCGATGGATGCAGGATGTGGGTAGCAAAAAGACTACCACGATGCTTGACCTCGGTCAGCTTTCTAAATAGTATGGCTTTGTTTTGCCTTAGGGAGAACTAACGCGGACGTGATGACCGCCCTGTCGCAGGGCTACAGGATGCCCCGCATGGAGAACTGCCCGGATGAGCTCTATGACATCATGAAAATGTGCTGGAAAGAGAAGGCGGAAGAGAGGCCGACGTTTGATTACTTACAGAGCGTCCTGGATGATTTCTACACTGCCACGGAAGGGCAGTATCAGCAGCAGCCTTAGAGCTCAGGAAGACTCATAGCCATTCGCAGGGACGGCTGCCTCGTTAAAAAAGAAAAAATAACAATCACTGATTGCACCAGTCATTTCATGTGCTGGGATGATCCACCGTCCCTGCTTCCTGGAAGTGAGGCTGAATTACTCAGGAAGAACACTCTCTACATGGAAAAGGATTCTCTTCCCATAGGCTGATGCCCACGGTTTGCAGCTCGGTTGGCTCCCGGCTGGCAATCTTGCTTTACTAGACCCACATCTGAATACAACCTTCTGAAAAGAAAACAGCTGTTCTATCCAAAATGCACCCACTTTGGCCTCCTGTTTGCAATTGGATGTGTGGGCCATTTCAATAAATCCCCAACAGGAGCAGAACTAAACTCACTCATGAAGGTGAAATAACCAGGTGCAGATCATGACACTTCTTTGTATTTTCTCTGTCCTTTGGCTTATTTGTTAAAAAATTACTAATCCAACCTGTTAGATTTTGCAGGTAAAGTCAGAAGCTTAAAAATATCTTTCCCAGATTTCAGTGATCTCCCGTCCCCCTAAAATCTGAGACTGTTAAACATTTTCCTTCCGTGGGGACTGCTCGGACCCCAGATAGGAGGCAGCAGTGGCACTTCCCTGTAGAAGCGTCATTGGTGAGCATGCAGAGCTGCTGTGCTAGGTGACGAGGAGCCCACCGACTGCGGCTTGCCCAGAGCTCCCTGGAAAGGGAGAAAACCCTCAGAAACTGCTCTCTCTTCAGAAGGAATGTTTTTAATGGTCCAGCTTTTCAATTCCACAGTTTCCTAAATACAGACTTTTTTGACTATGTAGTGTGGAAGAACAGTAAGATTTAATCTCTGCAGAACCTGATAGGGCCTTATAAAACACAAGAGTTTTCTTTATTGCTTTGAATGATTTGAACATTATTTTAATGATCAAATATTAACTTTAGTTGTACTTTAGAAAGTAAAAATGCCATATTCTGGGTTATTTTTGTGATTCAGCAATCTTTTCTAAATTGTGTAAGATGTGTGTGAGACTATTTATACAAGAATATAAGGGAAAATGAGTGACTTGAGGCTCAGATGAGCGACTGTAGCAAGAGATGCGAGAGGTTTTGTTTACTAAACTTTTCTACTGTACGCTTAGAATGGGAAATGCTATATCACATCATGTTTCACTCTACTGTTGTGTATATACATAATATTTCTATTTTGTGATTTTATTTTAATATACCTGGCCCAATAACATCTCAAGCTTTTTACTTGTGTTTAACATTTCCAACATAAAAATGAGTACCAGCTGGGGGAAAATGAGAGGTGATTCCATATAGTTACGTTGTTTAAAAAACTTGTACAAGTTCTACCTCCATCCTTTCAGTGTTTTCAGATTGGAGAACTGAGGAGTTGATGGCCTGGACATCTGACCATCCCTTTATGGGAGCCAAATAGGATTTGTTTTCAAATAGCCTTAGCAAGCACCATTAAAATTTCATTTTGTATGTGTTGGCTAGGTGTTGGGTGCCTAGGGGAAGGGATAAAATATTCTACTTTCCCCTAAATTTTAACTTCTTTTCCTGTGTGATTTTTTTTAATATCTCTTTTAAAATTCTTGATTCACAAGTGCCGTATTCACAAAGATAGAGTATTATCATCATATAATGTTGGCATAGCTTGATTCACAATGGTACGTTTTCTGCATATACCCATCTGTTCACATTTTACTTCAGAATCACACATATGACCCACTGTGTTACTTGGAGAGACAATGTAAAGAATCCCTAAAGCAAAAAGAAGTCTCTAGAAAATTACTAAATTTATCTTCACCTTGTTTTTCTTCTCTCAATGCTGCTTCCTTTTGCCATTTTACATTCAACTTTCCCTCTCAGTCAAGTATGTGACCCTTTCCTCCAAGGGTCTCCTTCGTCACCTTGGGCCTCGTCACTCACTCGGCACGTGCTCAGGCCCAGAGTACTCAGTGGACAGCAAGCACAGTCTCTTCCTTCGGCAGTAGGATTCCAGCCTCCTCATGACTGACAGGCAAAATGAGGGGCTGAGAAGGTGTTTGTAAAATCTTAGGGTCTCCAGTGCTGTGCAGAGTGGCTTACATCATCACATCCCAGATCCTTACTGAGAACTTGAAACAGAGACTCCCAGCTCCCCTTCCCCCAAGATCCTGCCCTCACTGTTCTGCAGTGAGGGGTGTATGTCAGCACGCTTGAAAAGCTTCCCCCGTGAATACAATGTGTGCCCAGGCTTGAAAACCACTCTCCTGCTGTGACCCATATTGCAAAGTTACCTGCTCCAAAGAAGACCAACCTTCTCTTTCCTTAGATGGTTTGGTTTCCCAAGGGAGGATGTAGGAGTAGAGGAGGAAGGAAGAGGAGAAAATGTGCCTTTTTCCTTTCTTATGAACTTGAAGCCCACTAGACCTAAAGTAAAACTTGTAGGCTTGACACCAGTGTCCTTAGTAGAAGGGGACACTTGGTGCTTCCGTAGCCCCTCCAAGCACACTTCCCTAGGCTCTATCAGAATCCCACTGGAAAAGCATAGGCCTTCTTCTACGGGAGATCCTATACCACAGAAGCCTTGACTCCTGTTCCAAGAGTGTATAAGGGGTCCATAAAAGGAGGGACCATATTTATTTGCTTACATGGTGGGATAGATCGCGAGGGCATTAAACGTAAGTATAAACCCATTTCCAGTTTCGCCTGTGGTGATGGCTTTCCCTTATGTTTCCATTGTTTGAACATACTACATCCGGGGCAGTAGCTGTTAAAAGATAGTCAGTACTGAAACACCAGCATCTGATCTGTTAGAATGAATTAAAACAAATGCTCATCCTATAGCTCAGCTCCCCAGCCCTTATGATTTTAACTGCCATGTTCCACAACCAGTCAGTTTCTTGCATTCTCAGCCAACAGCATCTCTCAGAGATCACAACACCTACCTTTCCCTTTAGTATCTTCATTTTCTTCTGCCCAGTTGAATGGAGACTCCAGTTCTCTATCGCCTACATTTTGGTTGTCTGAAGTTTTTAGATTAAGTGAAGACAGGCCTTGCCATTCTTCTTGTTGCAAATGGTGATTATAAATACACAAAGACACTCATCACCCACCATTTGCTCAGTGTTCTCTTTTGTGCTTTGGCACTTTATACAAATTACCTCTAACTCATAAAACAACCCTTGAAGGTATGGACAGTACTGTCACTATTTCACGGCTGAGAAATCAGATGCACACAGTCATCTGAAATCAAAGGCCACAGAAGGAACAGATTGGCTTCCCTTCATGTTGTTTCCTTGTGACATAAAACACATGAAATACCTCTGTAGTGGAATCTCCTTGGCTCAGGTGGGTGTTTTAAGTGGGCAAAGGAATTACTTACAAAATGCTCCACCGGGGTCCACACAGATGTGAGGGAAAATTTCTTCTAAGTTTAATTTTGGAAGAAAATTCATGCAAGAATTCGACTCACCACTCACCCTTTTTAAAAAGACTATAGAGACTACACTTTTGAATAAAATGCTTTGATGACATGCTTCATTTCATAACATGAAATTGTATTAAACTGTTACGATTTAATCCCAAAAAGTTCTACTCTGATAGATGTGTAGGAGGAAAGCCTTCCAATTTAATTTTCTGTGTTCTTATGAGTTTACACTTCAGGTAGGAGTGAGTGCCAAAAATGTCACAGGGTTCCCAAGATGACAACCGTGCGATCTTGGGTATGTCCCTTAAATGCAGAAATGATAGGGGCAGTCTTAGTGGCCCCCATCTCTAGGTCGTTGGAAAGATTAGTCAGAAATAACCTAGATTGGCCAATGTACAAAGTTAACACGGAACTCCTAGAATCAAAGGTGGTTTTATTTACAGACCAAAAGTAGATACCACGTCACAAGGCAAGAAAACAATCTGAATTGTTTTTATTACACTTATTCTAGGCTTGAACAGTCCTTAATCCCTCATCTGCTACTCTTAGGGTCAGGTGTATTTTTGATTTCAGGTTTGTTTTTTTATTTGAAAGGTTAATACAATGAATATACAGTACTGAATATTTGGTGGTAAGCCCTCAGTGAACACTGGAGAAGAAACCTTTAATCGAATAAAACATTTCTGTGGAAAAATGCCTGAATTCATAGTAAGTGGGATGAATATAGCCTATAAATAACTTCAGGTCGGGTTTTGCCACCAAATGAGATCTAAAATAACTTGGTTTTCAGAGCTTTTTGGACTTTGGAATTGTGGGTAAGGGGATGGACCTGTAGCCAGAGAGCTTGAAGAACGTGTCAGACCTTTTAGTATCAGTGGCGCATCTGATACAAGTGGAGGGCGTCAGGACTGTGGTTGCTCAAAACCCATTTTATGCAGTTATGTTCCAAGATGCAAAATATTTATGCATCTCTTTGAAACAACATAGTCAGTCATTAAAATAATCTCTCATCAAATACACCACCTCGGGGAGGTCTGCTACTTAGCAGTTCAAGTGGGGATAAATATCTAATGGTTTTAGTTGACCACAAGAGCTGCCGGTGCCCTGTGGTTGCTAAAATGGTTAAGGAATGCAGTAGGAGGCTACGTTAGGAGCTGGAAAGAGGCCACCCACAAAGAGATGCTCTTTCATAACGCGAAAGTCAGACTGTGCGGGAGCATTACATTCAATTCTGAACTCTTGATGGCAGATTCTCAAATCTTAACTGTCCCGGAAAAGTCACTTTGATGTGGGTGATGGGTGTGCATGAAAGAATGGGGAGCATGTCCACTGTGGAAATCTTTGGGCAGGTGATGGGAGCTGCGGCACAGATGTTTTGATGGAGAGATAAATGAAATCATTTTAAAACATTTGCTCTGTCAAAGAATTATATTTTGAATCCTTCTTTGTAGGACATTTTTTTCCCGGAGGGGATCATCACTCCTAATCTCTTTTTGGTCAGTGTACTTAACTTTAAATAAGGTGTTTGTGGATTAATAGTAATCATTCAATACAGCGCTTTATAGAACACTTTCCTGAACACAGGAATGGTAGTAGATGTGTGAGGGACATGGATATTTAGTCTCAAATGGCCTGCTTTAAGGGGAGAAGTACAGTGATGATATAGGTAGAGCAAGAAAAGTATTAGAAGGGAAAAATATAGGTGCAAAATGTGGAGAAGATCATTCTGAGGCGAGATCGCAGAGCTGGTTACAAGAACAGGCATGGAGGTAAAGAAAGAAGGCTTCATAAAGGAGTGACATTCAGGATTGGCTTTGAAGAGGGCAGGGCGCTGGCAGCCCAAAGGAGACTGCAGGGAGCAGTTTCAGAGGAAGATGCGGAAGGCCAGAGGCAGAGAAATGTGGGCAGCATTGAAGCACAGAGCGCCCCGGACTGATGGAATTAGGGAAAAATTCTCAAACTTGAGTGTGCATCAGAATCACCTGGAAGGCTTATTATAACAGATCACTGGGCACCCCCTACCCAAGAGTTTCCAGTTCTGGGGTGTAAGTCTGGGGAGAGACCTGGGAACGGCAGCTGACAGTCCTGGTCCTGGACCACTCTTTGGAGACCCACTGGATGTACAGGTGCTCAGCAGCAGGGGAACCCAGTCAAGCAAGATGAGGCCACATCTTGAAGAACATGTGGCGTCCCAGGTGAGGAGCATGGA